ATCCTCCAATGTCCGGCTGTAGACGAGAATATCGTCTAAGTAGACCAGCACGAATCGGTCCAACATTGCACGGAACTCATTGGTCATCGCCGCCTGGAACGTCGCCGGGGCGTTGGTGAGGCCAAAAGGCATGACCACCCACTCAAAATGCCCGTACCGCGTCTTGAATGCGGTTTTGTACCGATCGTTCGGCTGAATCGAGATTTGATGATATCCTGATTTCAAATCCAACTTGGAAAAATACTTCGCACCGCCCAGTCGCTCGAGAAGATCGTCAATGCGAGGAAGAGGCCCCGCATTCTTGACGGTTTGTGTGTTGAGCTTGCGGTAGTCGATACACAATCGTAGATCCTTGTTCTTCTTCATGACGAAGAGAACTGGTGCTCCATATGGGGAGCTACTCGGGCGGATCCAGCCCTTGGCCAACAAATCATCGAGTTGTGCGCGAAGTACCTCAAGCTCCTCCTCGCTCATCCGATAGATGCAACCTTTCGGCGGCACGGCACCGGCCTCAAGAATGATCTCGTGAGAGATCAGCCGACCCGGCACCACACCGGTAGGTGACTCGAAGACGTCGGCGAACTCGTCCAGCAACCGTACCACACGGGGGTCCGAAGACAAGTCCGTGGGTGAAGAGTCGGCTACCGCGACGGTCCGTAGGAAACATATGCCAATCTCCTCAGGCTGATCGTAAGCACAAGTCGCCCGGAATGATTTGGTCGTCACCACTTGGCACCGGATCGAAGAGCGCGGTAGAGGAATCGTACACGCCACTTCCGCGCCGAAGGCGTCGCGAACGCTAAGAGTCCGCCGATGGAAGTTGACCGTGTGATCCGCACTTGCGAGCCAAGGCATTCCCAGAATGATGTCGAAGTCCGTGTCGAGAATATCGAATGTTACCGGTTCGCATGCATGAGGTGCGAAGTAGACCGGTACAGCTTCGATGTAACGGTCGAGAAGTTGTTGCGTCTTACCATCCGCCAACTTGATCGCCGTCGGGTTTGCCTTCCTCCGAACCTGAGCGCCAAGGCCAGCTCTTTGCATAAAAGACTGGCTCATGAAGTTGCGAGTCGCGCCGCTATCCAGCAAAGCGCTGCCGGACGCTTGCCCAACCTGGATGCGGACATACATGAGCGGTGCATTGTTGTTATCGTACCGCTGCGTGCAAAACTCGTGGGCCACCTTGGTAACGTACGCCAAGATGTCCCCCACCGCGACTTCGTCATCCGTCGGCGAATTTGGTGGTGCATAGAAGGAAAGGTAAGTGTGGAGATGAGCGCTAAGTGCTGCGCAATGCGGTCCCGGCAAACAGCCTGTGGTCGGGAGAGGAAGCCATGCAAAGTCCTCAGACGTGAGCGGGTCCAAAACCTCTATCTTGAACTCGCGCGCCGAATCCCGTGACGAACCACTTGAAGACGATATGTTGCTGTTGCCGGACGGAGAAGAAACCGCACACAGTCCTTGTCCTTGAGCCTGAGTACCCAACGTTGGAACGAGCCGGGCAGCATAGTCCTCAAAAGAAAATAGAAGCGGAGGACTGTCGACTTCCGCGTGCGCCTCAGAATGAAGGCTGGTCACTCGCGAAGAAACCAGTTCCGAAGGCGTCGAGAGTGTCGTCGCATCACTCTCGGCGGTGCTCAGTTTCCCTGTCGACCATTGCCCTTCAGTGGGCAAACGGGCGTCAGATGAAGATCGCTGTTGCACCACAGGCAATAATGGAATCTCTCGTGCCCCTTGTAGGCGGACTCGGAGAGGCCATACGAGGTCCATGGGCCTGTCTGAGCTGTTGCACCGGGCCCGGGGCTAGAAATGGTGTGTGTCTTCGGCTTGCCGCGCCCTCGGCCTCTGCCGGCGCGACCACCTTCCCGGGCGGCTGCGAATCTGTCTCCTTCACTGGCAGACGCAGCCTCACTGGTTTGGTCTAACGGCGCTGCCGCTGCGACCAC